GTATCTTACCCAATATCACACGGATAATAAAGGGCAGGGCAGGATTCCAGACCAGGTCACTTCAACTCCAAAGCGGTGTCATCCCCACTATGCTACACTGCCCCTCCTGGGATGAGTGAGGCAGGAGTAAGGAGATTTACAGAGTTCCCTGAGCTAGGTAGAGCCAACTGCCATCAGTCACGATCCCATTGCTATGGTGGAAATGCCACCCCTTGGAGAACAGCATCAGAGCCCACACTGTGCTCCCTCTACTCCCTATCCCCCCAGAGTTGGGGTTGGCGGGGGGTGGGGGGTGGTGAGGAGCCCTTTGATTCATTCTATCTTTGCTTTTTTTCCCTGGAGGTCTGGGTGAGGAAGAGAACCTTCCACCCATGCCAGGAGCCATGTGCTAAGCTCTTATCTCAGAGCACCCATGGGTTCCATGCAGACCCACTCATTCTGTTGCCCCACCCCTGAACTGCAGTACATTGGGTGCTACTGAGAACCTTATGGGGTGGCCAGAAGTCCTCAGTAACCGTCAATACATAATAGAATCTGGGAAACCCAACCACCATGTTTCTTTCACTGCATCCTTCAGGTAAATGGCATCCTCAAGAGAAAAGAGAAGAGAGGAGGGGAGGGCAGGGGCGGGGAGAGGAGGGAAGGGAAGGGAAGGGAAGGGAAGGGAAGGGAAGGGAAGGGAAGGGAAGGGAAGAAGGGAAGGGTAGAGGACGAGAATAGAATATTTCTGGCCTGAGAACATCTCCAGCAAGGGCTCCACTGGGGAAAGCCTGCAAAATCTAGATGTCTCACAGAGAAGTCTGAGGATACCCGGCCAAGTCATTGGATTGGAAATTCTGAACCCAAGAAAGGAGAGAAAGCAGCCCAGATAGCTGACATCTTGACCGCTTGGCTCTGCAAATGCCAACGAGGATTTTGTCTCCAGTTCACGTGACTCCAGCGGGCAAATCAAGTCTCAGTGTCAGACCAGAAGAGGGTCAGAATGAGGTTAAGCAGCTCCAAAATCGCTCAGCCTTTTTCCTCAGACATGGTTACAGACAAAGAGAAGGACTAAGAATAATTAGTGGCCTCAGGCGCCTGGGTGGCTCAGGCAGTTGAGTGTCCTACTTCAGCTCAGATCATGATCTCACAGTTCGTGGGTTCGAGCCCCGCATCAGGCTCCCTGCTGTCAGTGCAGAGCCCGCTTCAGATTCTTTGTCTTCCTGCCTCTTTCCCTCTTTCCCTCTCTCTCTCTCTCTCTGAAAAATAAATAAACATTAGGAGCACCTGAGTGGCTCAGTCAGTTAAGCATCAACTTCAACTCAGGTTATGATCTCACAGTTCATGAGTTCGAGCCCCACTTCAGGCCCTGTGCTGACAGCTCAGAGCCTGGAGTCCGCTTCAGATTCTGTGTCTCCCTCTCTCTGCCCCACCCCCTCTCACACTCTGTCTCTCTCTCTCTCTCTCTCTCTCTCTCAAAAATAATCATTAAAAATAAAGAAAAATAAATAAACATTTAAAAAAAGAATAGTGGCCTAATAAAAGATACTTAGAAACTAGCAGCTACAATTTCTCCACATTTACTTGCAGGCCTGGCATAGTGCCTGATATGCATGTATCTCACTGCAAGCTCACGACAGCCATACAGATCATTGTAATGATATCCCCATTTTACAGGTGAGGAAACTGAGGCTTAGAGACACCAAACAACTTGTCTACGGTCCCACTGATAATCAGCATACAGACAGGATTTGAATCCAGGAAAACTCACTCCTGAGCCATTTTTAATGGCTCTTATTCTGTCTCCCATGTGGATGATAGTGGGATGTTCTAGGAGCAAGAGCAGAACTAGAACCCGGGGTTGCCCAGCTCTATTGTTCTTCCCTACTCAAAATATTCCATATGTGTGGTCACTTGGGTGTGGCCCACACATGTGTGCACACAAAAGCATTCAGCCAGGAGGTGAGTCCTCGCCCCGCCCCATCTCACACACCTTGCCCTGAATCCTTGCTTTGAATGTCTGCCTCTTGTGTGTGTATCTTTACAATGTGGCTACGTTGGAACTACAAGCTCAGCATTGTGGAAAACCCAGAGGGAAGGGAGGGAAGGTCTTGGGGCTACCTTCACGCGGCTCTACATCAGAAGAGTTGCTTTGGCAGATGAAGCGCATAGCCTGTCTGAGCAACCAGGTAGCAACCCATAAATTCCAAGGCTGGGGTCACCCCCAGAAGCGGATCCCATGTTTGTGCAGGGATTTAAGTCCCAGCTAGATCTGGGCCTTGCTCTGGCCTCCCCCAGCCCCTCCTTCTCTGTGGCTGTGTGATATTGGGAAAGTTATGACCATAACACTCAAAATCAATAAGTGGTCAGCTTTTCCAGTCAGGTGCCTGGTAAGCTCTGTAGGACCTGGACTTGGAACAGCAAGTGAGGCAAAACCATCACTGAAATACAAACCTTGGGTTTTATTTGCAAAAAAATAAAACTCTAGGGGCACCTGGGGGGCTCAGTCGGTTAAGCGTCCGACTTCGGCTCAAGGCATGATCTCATGGTCCCTGAGTTCAAGCCCCACGTCAGGCTCCGTGCTGACAGCTCGGAGCCTGGAGCCCGCTTCAGATTCTGTGTCTCCCTCCCTCTCTGCCCCTCCCCTGCCTGCACACTGACTCTCTCTCTCTCTCTTAAAAACAAATAAACGTTAAAAAGAAAATTAAAAAAATAAAGCTCCAAGAAGAGCAGGGGGTATGGAAGATAACACAGATGAAATAAAGGAGGAGGGACGGGTCTTGAAGAAAAAAGCTAGTGACAGGGGAGAAGTGCCAGGTGGGAGGAAGCCACACACTGCAGGAAGGAGGAATGGGGCACCCCAGGAACAGCAACCCAGAAGGGAGCCAGCCACAGACACCAAGCCTGCCCAAGATGGCAGCTGGGAGCTGGCCTTCATGGGGTTTGGTTCATGGTCCCATTGTAGGACCATGTGCAATGGCTTCTGAAGCAGACAGGAAAGTTGCTCAGCCCAAACATGAGTCTCAGTGCCATGAGACTCAATGCAGTGCCATTGGGCCCAAACCCTGGGCACCTCGGCAGTAGCCTGGAGACAGAGGCCCTATGGGTCACCTTGCAAAGACAACACCCCGTTTGCCTTAGAGTCTAGGGAAAGAGCTTTGACCCAGGCTCAGTGACTCTGCAGGGGGTCTGATCTGGGCAGTATTGAGATAATAATAATAGTAGGATAGTAGGAGAAGTAGTAATAATAGTGATCGAGTTTAATCATAAGGCTCTTTGGGAACTTAGAATGTGCTAGTTACTGCTCTGAACACACATATAGTAACTCATTTAATACATCTACTAAATAGAGGTAATGTACTCATGATACTTATCACATGTTAGGAATATTATCAAGATGACACATGTGAAATTGATGATAAGGATGATAACTATAGTAATAATAACAGTGGTGTTGCTGGAGGTGATGCTGATGGAGAGGTGCTATTAATAGTGGTAATGGCATACACATTACAGTGCGGCAGGTAAAGATATAGATTTGGAGTTTCACAGGGACCTAGGTTCAAATTCCAGCTCCATACTCATGGTATGATCTTAGGCAATTAACTCCAATGAGTCTCAGTTTCTTCATCTGTGAAATGGGAATAATATTTCCCTCATGGTGCTATTGAGAAAAGTGCATGTCAGTTTCTTAGCACAGTACCTGACACTGGCTGCACCCTGGCTGCTACGGAAGAGGGCACGGGGCTTGGGGGGGGGTGGGTAATGGGTGGGGAGGGCAACAGCAGCAATAAAAATAGCAAAAATGGGGTTCCCTGAAAACTCTCTTGCACTGTTGGTGAGAATGAAAACTGGTGCATTCCCTCTGGAAAACGGTGTGGAGTTTCCTCAAAAAATTAAAAGCAAGACTACCCTACGACCCAGCAATTGCGCTTCTAGGTATTTATCCAAAGGATACAAAACTGCTGATTTGAAAGGGAACGTGCACCCCAATGTTTATAGCAGCGCTATCAGCAATAGCCAAAGTATGGAAAGAGCCCAAATGCCCATCGACTGATGAATGGATAAAGAAGATGTGGAATCCTAGGCAGCAATGAAAAAGACCGAAATCTTGCCATTTGCAACAACATGGATGGAACTGGAGGGTATTATGCTAAGCGAAATAAGTCAGAAAAAGACAGGTCTATGATTTCATTCATATGTAGAACTTGAGAAACTTAACAGATGAACATAGGGGAAGGGAAGGAAAAATAAGATAAAAACAGAGAGGGAGGCAAACCAGAAGAGACTCTTAAGTACAGAGAACGAACAGAAGGTTGATGGGGGGGTAGACGGTGGGATAAATGGGGGATGGGCCTTAAGGAGGGAACTTTTTGGGATAAGCACTGGGTGTTGTAGGTAAGAGACAAATCATTGGGTTCCACTCCTGAAGCCAAGACTACAAGGTATGTTAACCAACTTGAGAATAAGAATAAGAATAAGAGAATAAGAATAAGAATAAGAAAATAAGAATAAGAATAAGAATAAGAATAAGAATAAGAATAAGAATAAGAATAATCAAATTCCCAGTAGATGTCAAGAGGTTCTCCCAGGCAGGGAGGGCGTCACCTCCTGATCACACTCTGCACAGCTGTTCCAGCAGAGACAACCTTAAGGGCCTTCACTTCGAGAGGATGTTTTTAATTTGGCAACGTTTAGACTCGAATATGCAGGGAGGCCTTCTACACTCACCACAACTCAGGCGCCACTCCTTAACTATTAACCAAGTTGGCTCCAGCCAAGCAAGGAAACAGACAAAGGTTATCTCTGGAGATGTTATGTCACCCTCTCACCTTGGCCCTGGCACCGCATGGCCTGAGCCTGACTCCTTGTCTGCTGGGACCACAATTGCCTTGCGCCATTTCCTGCCCCCTCCCATACCCACAGACTCCCAGACCGTTGCTTTAACCCTTTTATGTCTAGCCAACATCTGTCATTTGAGGTTCTATGACGTCAAAGTGAATGATCATAATAATCATAAATAGCTTGCGTGTACTGTGTTTACTATGCTGCATGGGTTAGTTTATCCAGTCCTCACAACTACCCTGTGAGTTGGGTAGAATTATTAGCCCCATTTTGTAGGTGAGGACACTGAGGCTCAAAGGGCTAAGTAACTTTCCCTAGGTCATACAGCTCATAGACTGCATAGTGGGTACGTTATTTGACATACGTTCGATCTTGGATCCCAGGCTGATTCTTCCATATGACGCTGCCTGTCTTTCAAAGACTGAATCCAGAGGAGCGCGAGTTAATTGAAGAGCCAGGATGGAGGGAGAGTGTCGGGGCTGGGAGGCGAATGCACTTGCCTGACTCTCAGATCCCCCTAGGAAAGCAGCTCTCCTCTACCAGCTTCTCTCTAGACATTGACCTGGCATTACCATGGTCCAATTGACGTGGTCAGTGTCGGTCTCGGAAATGATGCGTCATGCTTTCTGAGAAGACAGACTTCAAAAATAAGTAAATAAATGTAGCATGCCCTTTATCTCAGCAGCTCCACTTCTAGAATTTCATCCTTCAGACATACTTGCACATGTGTGAATTGACATATTTACAAAGTTATTCCTTGTTTGTAACAGCACAAATTTGGAAGTAGCCCAAGTGTCTGTCATCGGGGAATGGTTGAATAAATTGGGGAATGTGCATATGATGAGCTACTCTGCTGCCTAAAATAAATTTAAGAGTAAAGCTCTATCTGCAGGGATATGGAAGTGATTTGTAGGAATACGTAGGAGATGAGAATGTACAACACAAGGCTAAGGAAGGAAAGTAATAACAGCATGTATGTTATGTTGCCACTATGTGAACCATGGGGAGGAAGAAGGGTAACTGCAGATGTTTTCCTGTATATGCATAGATGGCCTGTAAATGGGTATGTAACAAACTGGAGCCATCAGTTGCTTTCAGAAAGGGCTCTAGGTGGCTCGGAGGCAGAGGTGGGACAAGGACTTTTTGCTCTGTACCATTATGTACCTTCTGAATTTAGGCACCTTTGCCAAAATTAATTTATCTGTAAAAACATGAATAACCATAAGGGAAGGTTCACAGCACATCAATAAAGTCACTGGACATGACATCGGAGACCTTGAATTTGATCATTGTTTCTGTCACCTTGGAAAAGCTGCTTGATGTTTCTGAATCCAGGTTTCCTCAATTATAAGGCTGAGGAGGGGGGGAAGTGATAACTACTTCCTAGGGATGATCAAAAAGATTAAGAGGCAAAGTGTATTTGGTTATTATTCACTCTCCAGATATTTGTAGAGCACCTACTCTGAGTCAGGCCCTGAGCTCATACTGTATATTAACAAGGCTGGCTTCCCCCCTCCTGCATCATGGGGTTACAGTCTAGTGGGGGGGGGAAGGCCATGAAATCAATACAGACTTGTGCAGTCGCCTGTTGTCATAAATACTGCAGCGGCTCTGCGAGACAGAATCCCGCTGGGGTTACAGAAGGCCTTTCTGAGACAGGGACACTTAAGCTCAGACCCACAGGCATCTGCTTAGCCAACAGAGGAGGGAGGGGCATTGCAGGTGAGAGGTCTGAGCCATAAATAAACTTGGAGAGTGCAAGGAACCAAAAGACAATCAAAATGGCTGGGAGCAGCGAGCTCTGGGGGAAGGGCTGGAGGCATGGGGGAATGAAAACATCCTGAGCTTCCAGAAACCATGGCAAGGGCCACGGGTATGTTCCAGGTGCAGCGGGAAACCACTGCGGTCCTACCCAAGGCAGTGTGGCATGGCAGGGAAGGGTGTAGGCTCAGACAACCAGCTTCAAGTTCTGGCTCTCTCTCTTTCTGGCTGGGTGCCCTGGGGCAGCCCCATGCTTCTCAATAAGGAGGCAAACAGTGCCTCTGGTACTGTGTGTGAGGTTGAAGTGCATCCCAGGGGAGCGCTTAGCTCGGCGCCTGGTGCCTTGTACACACTCAGCAGATGGCTTCGCAGCAGCAGCCGCCATAACAGCCGTTGTAGAGCATTTCTGAAAAATCCTTCTAGAGGGACGCTGGGCAAACAGTGGCCCCTGGACCAAATCCAGCCCGCCTCCTATTTTCGTGCTGTCCAGAAGCGAAAAATGCTTTTCACATTTTAACATTGGCTTAAAAAAAAAAAGAAGAAGAAGAAGAAGAAGAAGAAAAAGGAGAATATTTCCTGATGCGTGAAAATCTTATGAAATTTACATTTCAGCAGCCATAAATAAAGTTTTATGGAGACAAAGCCACTCACATTCATTTACGTATCATCTAAGGCTGTTACTATGCTGTAATAGGATAATTCAGGAGTTGAAACAGAGACTTGTGGCCTGCAAAGCCTAAGGTATTTGCTATCTGGCCCCCTATGGAAAAAATTTGCCAACCCCTGCTCTAGAGAATAGATAAGAGATGCCCAAAGATACAAAGAGCAAGCCTGGTTAGGAGGCCCTTGTAGAGTCTGAGCAAGAGATAACAGAGAAAAGGGAGAGACAGAGAGAGTCTGTAGACAATTTTTGGAAACTAGCAAGGGCTCACAAGTATCGGGCTTTACCGTATTTGCGACATTGGACACGGTTGTGACTACATCTATCTGTAAGACTTGAGAAGCTTTTGAGGTTTGGTTATCAGCTCCGACATGTTGTAATTAGAGGGCACTTGAGAACAGCAGAGGATGATTCCAGATTCCGGCTGACCGACAAGCTGATGGCATCACAGATATGTAATGTGGGCATCCTCTGGGCAAGCCCGGCATTGGGCTGTATAAATAGAAGCCAGTGGTCATCAGGAAGTATTCCTGGGGCTGAAGTCATCCTCCTTTTACACTGTCACGGCAGACCCCAAGCAAGTGCTGGGTTCACGTCTGTGCCCACAACCAGCTTGAGGCAGGAGAACACAGTGGTGTTGAGAGACAAGCCAGAACGTTGGCTGGGTAACAGCTGTGAAAAAGGTAAAACAACTGGGATTATCCAGTAATGGTAGGTACCACGTATTAGGCACCCACCATGCCCCAGTGTGGCTGCAAGCTCTTCACGTGACTCATTTCATTTAATCCTCATGAGTACCATTAATTACATTGTCACTACCACCATTATCTCCATTTCACAGATGAGGACAAAGAAACACAAGGGGAACTTGCCCAAGGCAGCAAAACTAGTAAGTGGAGGGGTCAGGATTCCATTCCCAGACATCTGGGTCAAGAGCTCCCATACTTAACCAGTATGCCTCATTACCTCTCTTTTCCAGCTGTCAGGGAAAGGAGAAGACTATGGGTCATTTAGGAGTAACATTTAGGCCCCTTTTGTTACTTCCCCTCACAACTCCCAGGGATTAAAATATTTTGTCTACCAGATAGCATTTATTATGTAATGACCACCTCAGTGTTTTCTTGAAGTCATATGTGGCCATTGATCCTTGCTTATCAGCATGTAATGCCAACCCTCCCCCCTCCCCAATATGCACATGAGTGAGTGAGCAGGCGCACATGCACACACACACACACACACACACACACACACACACACACAATTCAGTCTTATCAGGGATGGATTAGGATTTCCAATGGGCTTTTTTACAACCTGCAGGTAACTCTCAAAGCACCCACGTCACCATCCTATGGGCTCTAGACAAAGGACCACTGCCTGGATACATAGCTCAGGCCCTGTCCAGCTCTTCCTGACCTATCACCACTTAAAACCCAACTGAGTGGTATGGGTATGATTATCTGCATAAGAAACAGAAATTAGACATACCACCACCAAGAATAATAATTCTAACTGCCATTTATTAAGTGCAATGTGCCTTCAATCTAACCCTCTCAACAACCTGTGGGTTGAAGTGAATTGGTGGATATTGTTAGCCCTATTGTGCACAAAGGAAACAGAGCGTCAAAGTTGTCCTTACCACATGAACATCAGAGAGAAAACGTCTGCGTCAGTATTTACACACAGGACTGCCTGACTCTGAACACTGCTCCTAACTCCAAGGCCACAGCAAGGAATTCAGAAGTATCCCAGAAGGAGCTCAGTTCATTAGATATTTACTGATCACATACTATGTGCCCGGTACTGCAGTAAGTCTTGGAGATCCAATATGACAGAAACGGTCCCCGCCTCATAAAATTTAGAGTTCAATTAATACAACTGTGGAGTTATTCATTCAACAAACATTTATTGAAAGTCTATATGCCAGGGGCGCCTGGGTGGCGCAGTCGGTTAAGCGTCCGACTTCAGCCAGGTCACGATCTCGAGGTCCGTGAGTTCGAGCCCCGCGTCGGGCTCTGGGCTGATGGCTCAGAGCCTGGAGCCTGTTTCCGATTCTGTGTCTCCCTCTCTCTCTGCCCCTCCCCCGTCCATGCTCTGTCTCTCTCTGTCCCAAAAATAAATAAACGTTGGAAAAAAAAAAAAAAAAAGAAAGTCTATATGCCAGATCCAGACACAATTCCAAGTGTTTGAAGATGCAGCAGTGAATTTAGAGTCTTATGCTTGGACCCCCAGATGGGACGCGCCTGCCCAGCCCTCCCGGGAGTCATCCAGCTGTTGGCGGGAAGTCTGGCCTGCTGTGGGGGCAGTCACCCATCCTGACACTTACCAAAGTCACAGCCCAGGAGCAGGTCAGAGAAGGGCGGGCTGCTTTATCCCCAGTTGTGCTGAATCCCTGGAGCTCTGCAATTATCATGAGGGGTGTGGGGAAGTTCTCTTCACAAGAGCTCCAAAGGAGATGAACCCTACTCTTTCATTAAAAAGTAACTGTGTCAATGTGGTGAGCATACCAAAAGGTATAGAGTCATCCAATCACTGTGCTGTACCTTGAAATGAACGTAACATTGTGTGTCAACTATACCTCAATTAAAACCAGCATCACCCTGTCACAGGGAAGGGGAGGCAGAAGATTCCAACCACAAAAACTAGAAATCAATTACAGTGAGATAACAGAAAAATTTCCAAATACTAGAAAACTAAAAAAAAAAAAAATTTTAAATATAGAACTTCATCAAAATTAAAATTTTTGCTCTGTGAAAGACCATGTCAAAGTATAAAAAAACAAGCTAGAGAGTGGGAGAAAATATTTGCAAACCATATACCCAACAAAGGAGTGCTATTGAGGGTATATAAAGACTTCTCAAAACTCAACAGTGTAAAAACATACAATCCAATTAGGAAACGGGCAAGAGACACAATGAGACATTTCACCGAAGTGAAATGAATTTGACATTCACAGATGGCAAGTAAGTGCATCAAAAGATGTTCAGTATCATTAGCCATTAGGGAAATGCAGATTAAAGCCACAATGAGATACCACTATACGCCTATTAGAAATGCTAAAATAAAAAATGTTTGCAACACCAAATGTGGGTGAATATGCAGAAACGCTGGGTCACTCATACATTGCTGGTCGAATTATAACATGATATAGCCACTCAAGAAACCAGTTTGGCAGTTTCTTACAAAACCAAAAGTGCACTGGGGCGCCTGGGTGGCTCAGTGGGTTAAGCATTCGACTTCAGTTCAGGTCATGATCTCGTGGTTCTTTGAGTTCAAGCCCTGCCTCAAGCGTGCTGACAGCTCGGAGCCTGGAGCCTGGTTTGGATTCTGTGTCTCCCTCTCTCTCTGCCCCTCCCCCACCTCTCAAAAATAAATAAACATTAAAATAAATAAATAAAATATTCTTTAAAAAGCTAAACTAGGGGCGCCTGGGTGGCGCAGTCGGTTAAGTGTCCGACTTCAGCCAGGTCACGATCTCGCGGTTCATGAGTTTGAGCCCCGCGTCGGGCTCTGGGCTGATGGCTCAGAGCCTGGAGCCTGTTTCCGATTCTGTGTCTCCCTCTCTCTCTCTGCCCCTCCCCCGTTCATGCTCTGTCTCTCTCTGTCCCAAAAAAAAAAAAACGTTGAAAAAAAAAAAGCTAAACTAAAAGTGCACTGATCATATGACCCACCAATCTCACTCCTGGGCATTTATCCCAGATGAATGAAGTCTTAGGTTTATACCAAAACCTGTATACAAATGTTTATAGCATCTTTATTCGTAATAGCCAGAAACTAGAAAAGACCCAGATGTCCTTCAACATGTAAATGGTTAAATAAACTGAAACGCATTCATATCAAAGAATCCTACTCAAGAATAAAACCTGGGAATGCAAGCTGGTGCAGCCACTCTGGAAAACAGTATGGAGGTCCCTCAAAAAACTAAAAATAGAACTACCCTACGACCCAGCAATTGCACTACTAGGCATTTATCCACGGGATACAGGTGTGCTGTTTCGAAGGGACACATGCACCCCCATGTCTATGGCACCACTATCCACAATAGCCAAAGTATGGAAAGAGCCCAAATGTCCATCGATGGATGAATGGATAAAGAAAATGTGGTATATATATATACTCTGGAGTATTACTCGGCAATCAAAAAAGAATGAAATCTTGCCATTTGCAACTACGTGGATGGAACTGGAGGGTATTATAATAAGTGAAATTAGTCAGAGAAAGACAAAAATCATATGACTTCACTCATATAAGGACTTTAAGAGACAAAACAGATGAGCATAAGGGAAGGGAAACAAAAATAATATAAAAACAGGGAGGGGGACAAAAGAGAAGAGACTCATAAATGTGAAGAGCAAACTGAGGGTTACTGGAGGGGTTGTGGGAGGGGGGGTGGGCGAAATGGGGAAGGGGCATTAAGGAATCTACTCCTGAAATCATTGTTGCACTATATGCTAATTTGGATGTAAATTTTAAAAAAGAAAAAAGAAAAGAATAAAACCAAATTATTAGTACATGCAACAACCCGTTTGAATCTCCAGAGAATTATTCTGAGCAGAAAAAACCCCAGTCCTAAAAGGTCACATACAGTATGCTTCCATTGAGATAAGATTCCTGAAATGACAAAATTATAGCAATGGTGAGTAGAGTGATGGTTGCCAAGGAAGAGAAGTGGGTATAGATGTAAAAGGGCAAATGGGGGACCCTCTGCTTACGAATCTATAATTATCTCAAAATACAAAATCTTAAAGAAATAACTACAATATAAAAAAATAAACTTCAAATTTCATAAAACAAAAAAAAAATGTTAAGAGTGCATAAGAAAAACCTAGTGAAATCCAAATAATGCCTATACTAACACTGTACCAACATCAACTGCTTCCTTTTGGAAAATGTACTAGGATCGTTGGGGGAAGCTGGGGGAAGATTCCATGAGATCTTCCTATACTATCTTTGCACCTTCTTGGGAATCTTAGCCTATTTCAAAATAAAAAGTTTTAATTTTTAAAAACCACCTAATAGTCTAATGTTCTCACCTTCAATCAATTCTTAAAAGACCACACACAAATGCAGGTCCTGGTGTCTGTATGTCCAGGTGACCACGAGATAGACATACCCACTACGCTGGAAAATGTCAGTTATAAATCAGAAATCTCAACTCACAAGTTTCTTTAATTTCTCTAATGCAATTTCATTTGTATTTTGAGCTCCCGTTCAGCCAACGTGGTAGAAATAATCTCAGGCAATTCAGCTCCTGCCCCTTCCTACTTTCCCTGGGGAGATGGCCCAAGTTTTGGGAAACTTACAAAAAGTCTGATATCAATGTGGGGTGAGCGCAGGGTAGGGGAGGAGCACCTTCCTACCTTCAGCATCTCCTGTGCAGACTGCCATCTTCTGGGGATCTGTCATCCATCATCCCTCTGCACAGATCCACACCCCCCGGGCTCCACCTGTAAGGCTACTCGCACCCAACAACCCCTTCTAAACCACCTGTATCCGTTTCCTACTGCCGCTGTGAGAAACTACCACAAATTTAGTAGCTTAGAACAGCACAAATGTATTGTTACAGATGTGGAGATCAGGAGGTCAGAAGGCTGAAAGCAAGGGGTCCGCAGGTCTACATTCCTTTGTGGAGGCTCCAGGGGGGAATCCATTTTCTTGCCTCCTCCTCTTTCCACAGGCTGCCTGCGTTCCCTGGCTCGTAGCTAAAAGACTCCGACCTTACTCATCCATCGTCACATCTCCTCTGGCTCCAACCCTTTGCTGCTCTCTCATAAAGACTCTTGTGATGGGGGTAGGCCCACCCCAACGTGCGCGCACAAACAAGTCATGTGAGCACACGATGAGATAGCAACTATCCACAAGCCAAAGAAACATGCCTTAGAGGGATGCCTGGGTGGCTCAGTCCGTTATGCGTCCGACTTGGGCTCAGGTCGTGACTTCGAGCCCCATGTCAGGATCTGTGCTGACAGCTCAGAGCCTGGAGTCTGCTTCAGATTCTGTGACTCCCTGTCTCTCTGCCCCTCCCCTGCTCGTGCTCTGTCTCTCTCTCTCTCTCTCTCTCTCTCTCTCTCTCTCAAAAATGAACATTAAAAAAACTTAGAGCGAAGGAGAGAAAGAAAGAAAAAGAAAGAAAGAAAGCAGCCTCAGAATGAAATCCACCTTGCTGGCACCTTGGTCTTGGGCTCCTAGTCTGCAGAACTGGGAGAAATGAATGTTTGTTTTTTAAGCCCTCCACCCCCATCTGTGGTGCTCAGGTATGACAGCCGGAGCAGACTACCGTAGTCTGCTGGTTGTGTGGGCTGCGTCTCCAGCACCCAGAATGAGGCTGACATACCCACAAAGAGGAAGGGAGTGTTGTGAGGAGTGCCCCCACCCGTGCTAAGACCAGAACAAAGGAGACCCGTGCTCTCAGGGGAGGAAGTGTGAAGCTGGGCCAAACTCTCCCAGAGACTGAAAGGCAGAAGCAGAAGGCAGGAGGTTTTACCGACAACCCCTCCCTCCTCAGGGGAACTAGGAGTGGGGAGAGGCATCCCCTCCACTGTCCTCTGTGACCACGAAAAGTACATGTTCCCATGCATTTATTCATTCAGCATTTACTCAGCATCCATCCTTTATCAGTCTTCTGTTGGCGTGTGAGGAATTACCAGACACTGAGCAGTGTAGAACAGCACAAATTCATCACCGCACAACATGTAGGGCAGGAGTCTAGACATGGAACCACTGACTTTTCTGCTCGGGGTCTCACTGGGCAAAAAAGAGGTGTCAGCCAGAGCTTCAGGCCTGGTCTGGGTCCCAGGGTGCTCTTCTGAGCTCCGTGGCTCTTGGCAGAATTCATTTCCTTGTGGCTGTAGGACTAAGGTCCCCATTGTCTTGTTAACTATCAGCCAGGGCCTGCGCTCAGCTCCTAGAGGTGGCTCCAAGGTCCTTGCGACATGGGACCCTCCATTGCAGCCACGGAGAACTTCCCCTGTGCGAAATCCCTCTCCTGCTTTGAATGTCTCCGACGTCTTCTTCAACCAGCCAGAAAAAATCTGTCTGTTTTTAAAGGGCTCACATGATTAGATCAGGCCTATCCAGATAATCTTCATAATCTCCGGATTTTAAGGTCAACTGATCTGAGGATTTAGTTACATTTGCAATACCTTTTCACAGTAGTGCCTAGCTTAGGGTTGGAATAACCAGGGGCGAGGGATCCTGGGGCCATCTCAGAGTTCTACCTACCACAAACTCCATGTTAGGTAAGGTACGAGGACAGGGATGCCTGGCAAATTACCCATCCCTGGGGGACTCACAGCCAAGTGGCCATGGTAAATACAAAGAAGGGACTGGATTGCAAGGCAGCAATTCTAATTCAAGGAAAATGCGATATTCTGTAGGACTTCAGAAGAGGCAGGTTTCACTCTCCTGGGAGGAGTAGAAGGCTCCCCAAAGGAAATGACGTTTGATTTGAGTCTTGCAGCATAGGAAGCGTGAAGGCATTCCAGGTAGAGGGTGTTCCATGTACAAGGATGGAAAAGACTAGCAAATTTAGGCAGTGACCAGGAACCCAGCGATGCTGAGTCTTAAGAGGACAAGGTTAGAAGAAGGGAGAAAGAAGACTGGGCTGGAAAGCTAGACTGGCAAGATGACCCGTGCCATCCTAGAGAAATGGGA